CTGAGCCCGTGTGTAAACAAGCCCCAAGACAGGGCTCCTGGGGGGGGGAGCGATTGGTGGGGGGGTTCAATTGTGGCAAATAAAAATAAGCTGAGCTTTGGATGTGCTGCGAGGTCAGGATGAATGACACCACGATGCGGGCATGGTGCGGGCACGATGCGGGTACGATGCGGGCAGAGCGGCGTGTGGGACCGGTGGGTGTCGGCACACGGCGAGAACGAAATGGGACCAGTTTGAAGCACGGAGCCAATTCTGTTGCCTGGAAGGACACCCCAGGGCTTTGTGGACAGCAGAAGGGCAGGGTCTGTGCTGGTCCGCATGCAGGTCAGAGCAGACATGGCCAGCAGATGGCAGAGCAGTTAAGGGTCCTCATATGTGACCCACGGAGGAGGTAACATTCGCAGGGATTGCTGAGGGCCCTTGGATCGTGGCCCCATGACACAGTGGTTGAATCTCCGAGTGACACTGATGGTCCCAAGTGCTTCCTTTTGCTACAAAAACAGGCAGATGACATGCTGGTGGTTCCACTCCACAATGCTGCTCTGACCTATAGTACTGTTTGTAAGGACAGGGGTCAAAGGTCACAGTTGCATCATATCTGTCTCAGTATAAGCGTGCAGTGTATTAGTGGAATTAATCCCCCTCCATCAAATATTTTGTCACCTGGCCTGGTGTAGTTTCTGGTGGTCTGTGCCAGTGATGGGGAGGGGGTGGGGGGGATCCAGGGCTGACATGTCACTTCCTGAATATCGGCCCATGTCACAGAGAGGTGGGTCACTGAGAGGTCACGGGGGGTGGGGGTTGGGGGGTCATGAAACATGAGAGAACTCCTGTGATCTTGCTCTCCTCTATCCCTGGGATCGGCCCAGTGTGGGCCTAGCCATATGCTGTAGGTATCAGCAGGACAGCCAATGATCTAATGCCCTCAGTACTTCCAGGATCACTGAGGGACAGCTCTGACGCTGTGGGTGGGGGGAGCGGCAGAGAGTGCATCTAGCATATTATTACTTCGGCGATAGAGTTGGGGGGTCGAATTCACCTGGCGGTGATCTCAGTGCCGTGACAAGCGGGTGCAAGCCCAAAGCACCTGTTTGATCTCTCGTTTAGGGTGGGAGGTCGGTAGCCCTCCTCTTCCTCACCCTCCTCACTATGGTGATTCGTTCCTTCTTTTGTACTTCATGGAAAGCCAGCCCATCCCCCCCCCCCCCCCCCCCACACACACCCCCCCCCCCCCCCCCCCCCCCCCCTCCTCCCCCCCCCCCCCCCCGCTTATAGGATGTCATGAGCCAGGTGGGAGGGCGCTGCTGGCATCCCCTGGGGCTGCTACACTAGTTTCTTTTATTTAAAGTTCTGCATTAATAATTTTTCCTCCCTCCCAAGACGTAAAGTGCTCCAGCTGATCTACAGGCGAAATAACACGTTCTTAGTCCGCCAAGAAACAAGAAGCATTACGAGGTTCGCGTGCAAAAAAAATAATGAGGCAGTGGGAAGGACCCAGCGGATGGGGGGGTGGTGTGTGTGTGGGGGGGGTTCCCAGGTAAGCTCTGGGAAGCAGGTCAGGCTGTACGGTGGGGTCAGGATCCCTGAGATTAACCAACAATACTCATTTTTGCCTTCGCCCGACGCTTTTCCCGCTCAAACGTGTTTGTTTGATATTCAGGCCAAGGTAATTAATCACAGAGGACCAGGATAGGCATTGTTTGGTTTGATTGAGAGGCCTGGAGCAGGAGGGAAGCACACTTTGGTGTTCGCTGGCGGGGTGGTGGTGCCCGAGCTTGGCATGGTCCTTTGGGGGGGGGGGGGAGTGGGGGTTGAAGGAAAAGGTGAGGTGAGGAGGCAGAGATTTCCAGAGACGGGGGAAACATTTGTGGCTGAACAGCTTTTTACAGACTCATTAGTGTGTTACTCAGCTGTCTGTGTGTAACAATTGTGCCATTGCTATCTCTTTGTCTCTCTCTCTCTCACACACACACACACACTCACACTGAATGGCACAGCTCACGTGAATTTGCATGTGTTTACGGGGGACTCATCGGGATGGACGTCTGAGACGCCTCACCCCGTGTATTGAGGCCTACTGTGCACCCCCGTGTATCGAGGCCTGCTGTGCAACCCTGTGTGTTGAGGCCTACTGTGCACCCCCGAGTCGCACAGTTCACTGTGGTTCCCCCACTGCACTCCTGGTGCTTTTTTTTTAATGCGTGCCGCTCTCACGCTGGTGTGTGGAAGCGAGCGCACACTCGAATTTAATAAGCTCCCACTTTTTTCTTTAATATCATTTCCGGCCAGTGACCCTTGTGCCCCCCCCCACCTCCTGTATTATGCCAATGAATTGTTCTTCCTAAAGAGTAATAGGAAATCGGTAAGAAATACCAAACTAGCATACTGTAAGAGATAAATCAAATTCAGGTCGGCTAGTTTATTGAATCTAAATTGTGCCCCCCCCCCAGCCCGAGAGCACTGTGTAGGCCATCAATCTTTCGCCTGATAATGGAGGAGGCCGAGTTCCACCTGATGTTTGCATTATTAAATTTTCCTCCTAACAAGCCGAGCTAATCCGTTCCGGGGGGGGGGTTGAAGTACGGTTTGGAAAGTGGGATCATTTGAATGAAACATTAACATGGCACCTTACAGCTCTCCCCACGGGTTGGGGGCGGGGGGGTGCTCCGTGAAAGGCCCTAGTTATCTTATCATTTCAGCAAAAACAACTTGAAAGCCAAGTCTTGGCTTTGTTCTGGTCACTAAACTCAAAGTCCTCAGTACAACAATGAACTGAAACAGACATGTCCCTTCCTTTGATGACTGACATGGACATGTCCCTTCCTTTGATGACTGACATGGACATGTCCCTTCCTTTGATGACTGAAACAGACATGTCCCTCCCTTTGATGACTGACATGGACATGTCCCTCCCTTTGATCACTGAAACAGACATGTCCCTCCGTTTGATGACTGTCATGGACATGTCCCTCCCTTTGATGACTGACATAAACATGTCCCTTCCTTTGATAACTGATGCAGACATGTCCCTTTGATGACTGACATGACATGTCCCTTTGATGACTGACATGACATGTCCCTTTGATAACTGATGCGAACATGTCCCTTTGATGACTGACATGACATGTCCCTTTGAGAGGGGTTATCGTGTATGTGTCAGTGGTGGTTTTCCCGCATGTTTGCACTGAGGGTTTACAGGCGGCTTCGGTGTTCAGCTCAGTGGTGTAATTAAATACCATCGGGGTGTGGAAGCAGCATCTCCGCGGTCTGCGAGGGAAGGAGCGCGGGGAGCCGAGGGCAGCGTGAGAGAGCAATAAACAGTGTGATTTGTGCGATTGCCTCAAGCGGCGGGGGGGGGGGGGTGTAAAAAATAGTCACATCACAGCAGAAGCTACGTCTCGCTGCACAGTAAATACCCCCAAAATGCAGTTAATACCTCTGAAGTGCAGTAAATATCATTGAAGTGCAGTGAATACCCCTGAAGTGCAGTAGATACTTCTGAAGTGAAGTGAATACCTCTGAAGTGCAGTGAATACCTCTGAAGTGCTGTCTGTATAGGACAGAGCCCAAATGGAGGCTGGGGCATCAACTTAATCTGTTGCTCCAGGCCTCTGAATGGAATTTTGTTTTGGGTACAGAGTCAGCCACCTCTGTCCTCTGCAGGTCAGGTGGAGCTAAACGGGGTCCAGCCGGTCGCCGTGGCCAAGAGCCCTCCTGAGCTGCCATGCGTCCGTCTGGCCGCGTCTGCTGCTCCGAATTGCCACCCCCCCCCCCACGATGCACACACGCACGCTTGAACGCGAATGCCCATGTCATGTTTACGTGAGCAGCCAGCGATCGTTTTCTTCCGCTCATTTTAAGATTTAAACTCATTAAGTATAATCCCATTAGCGACTCAATTCCACATCGCTCACTCATCAGCCAGTTAGATAGCAATAAAGCAGAATGGCTCCTTGGAGAGGCTGGCGCCACAGAATAAATGATGTGCTAGAAGAGAAATGTAATTAATTTACCCGCTGTATTGATAGCGCTATCACACTGTGCTCTATATTTTTTAATCTTCTTTAACATCTTCATTATTTGGGGGGGGACAGAGTCAACACTCCAGACGACTGAGAATCCCTGGCGCTTTACCGGGTTTCCTTTAACGAGCGGAAACCCGAACATCGGCTGGGCAGAGCAAGCCACCAGGAACACGTGTAGGGGGGGGGATGGCAGGGCAGTGTTAACGAGCCTGTTCCTGCTTGTCTAACATTGTCGGTTCAGTGACTCACTGCGGCGACGGGAGTCAGAGCCACGCAGGGACTCGCGGCACTGACAGGGTAAACATGAAGAGGCGCGTCGCCACGCCGGCTGTTTCTCCTGGCCGTTTGATGCCGTTTTGGAATGCGAGTTTTGTTTTCATTATCGACGTACCGCTGTTTGTTTTGGAAAGTATGTACAGAGCCCGAACCGAACGGAGGTCGATAGTCTCTTCAGTTACAGGAAAGGTAGTTAACTGAAGAGGGGCTGGACGGGGATTTAGGATTCGGCCTGAGTGACATATCAGGTGACAGTACTGTTGCATTTCTCTGGGCAGCGATGCAGCTGATGGTCAAACAAATATCGCCCTGATGTCTCTCTTGTGCTCCAGATATTTATGGATATCGACTTTTAGCTGGTTCCCAACAAGCCTTGACTCGACCTCACGTGGAGGCCCCAGGCATTACCCCCCCTGCCCCCGAATGCTCAGCCTAAATCGCATGTCTTAATTCATTAGATTACGTCGAAGGTGAGGAGAAGGAAGCGTGAAATGTTACACATACGCCCGAGCCGTCTCAGTGTGACAGAAATGACACCAACCAGCCAGTCAGGATCATCTGGTGTCTGCAGGTCCACAGATGGGTCATTCTTACTGTGCCAGGACAGCCTGAAGTGTCTTCTCTTGTAGAGTGTGGCTCCGTCTGTGAGCAGTGAGGTGCTCATTTTTCCAGCTGACGTCGTCTCTCTCTCTCTTCCAGCTAAAACAGATGAGGTGCTAAAAGCCAAGGAGAAGAAGGAGGAAGAGGCGAGGAAGAAGAGGGAGGAAGGTATGCCAGCATCCTCCGTGCCCAACAGATACGTTTTAGCCCTGCTGCACCTGAATCTCCAGCTGTGTCCGTCTGCTGGCTGTCATGGCAGGACAGGGTTAAGCAGCTGGGCCCCCCCAATGTCCCCCCAGCCGCTGAGCTGCCAATGCACCTGAAAATATGTAGATGGCTCAGGAGCCATAATCTAAACCTGCTTGGCTGGGCAGACAGTAAATTCCCTGTGTCATGCCCACCCCCCCCCCCCATTATTTGCACAGACATATTTAAATGAAGTCAGAAGCAATTTGCCCAGGCACGCAAAAAAATAAATATGAATACGTTTCCAAAAAAATCTTCAGATGACATAATGAGATAAAGTTACTCTTGCCGCAGCTGCATGGGGACCAGGACCGGGTCACGGTGCTTATGAGCTCGGGCCGGACACCTGGGCAAGCCCTGCGCCAAGAGAGTACTGATTCCAGTGGGATTTCATGGTGCACCATAAGCCCCCGAATTCATATCCTTTCATTCCCAGAATTCCCTGCACACCGTCACTCTGCTCTCGCGTCTTCTGCTCTTTGGCAACTCTCCTCACGTTACACGAGCTTTAAAGTCCGCTGACCTTCTGCTGATATAAAAGCCACACTCCCCAATCGTGATTAGCCCCTTGGACCCCTGCTTTGTTCTTGCAGTGGAAGCAGGAAGATAGTGTTGCTCCGCCATCCCCCTCCCTTGCTGACGAGGAACGTTGCCAAAACGTTGAATAATCGCTAGCCTCTGGGCTGCTGCACATGGCTTTCAGTCAAGCAGGCTTTTTTAAACGGAGTTCATACTGTAATGTCTCAATGCAACTCATCTCTTGCTCTTAACCGGTACGCCTCTCTGTACTGCACTTTCCCCTTCAGCCACCGGGGCGGCGCCTGCAACATTAGGCATGGGAGGGTTTACTGGAGACACAGGGTCCTGGGGTTTCTCTGCTGAACTTATCAGCAGGGGAAAAGTTAGAATAACTTGAAATTATAATAACTTATACATGACGATGTACCTGCATGTGTGCCTGTCATTAAAAGGACTTTAGTAAAACCCTAAGAAGCTGTACACACTCTGCTGACCTCCTGAGTCTGTCATTGGTGTTTTCCCTCTAATTCTGCCCCATCACCGGCAGGCCTTGTAATTTTCGATCCTCTCTCAGCCTGGCTTTGTATTCAGACGGAGGATCATCCCTTTATTTACCAGCCATTTGCTGCCCTGTCACCCAGACTGAGTCCTAGAGTAATAGAATAATTTCTTTGTGTCAGTTGTCTTGTTTGTTTGTTTGTTTATTTATTTATCGCCGTTGTTCAATTTATATAACCTGTCATCCTTGATCAGAGCTTTTGAGATACAGAGCAGCATCAGTCTGAGTCTATTAACGGTTGTGTTTCATAGGGGTGTAACGGTACACAAAATTTATGGTTCGGTACAAATCTCGGTTTTGGCTTCATGCTTCGGTGCAATTTTGGTAGAGCAGGGAAAATAGAATTTCTCTTAAAATTATGTATTATTAAAAGCATAAACACAAACACAATTCTCAGCAGTAATCCAAAGGCAATGTGTCGGCTGATGTATCTGAATAACAAAACCTAAGACACAATTACTTGCAAATTCTACAAATATATAAAATAATTCCATCCATCCATTTTCTATACATGCTTGTCCTATGCAGGGTCACGGGGGTTTGGAGCCTATCCCGGACATTATGGGGTAAAGGCAGGGAATCTCGCAGGACAGAACACACGAGGAGACTAACTGACAGAGGCTGTGTCTGTCCTGCTCCAGTCGAACACACATGTTGGTGTTTCCAGCGACATATCTGAGTTCAGTGGACAGTCAGCTTTGGTCTTATCAGTTACTCTCTCTCCAGCGCTGGTGTAATTTACTGGGAAACCAAAATGTTCCCAAAGCGCTGATTATGACTGACTGTAACCAGCATTAGGTGCAACCGACTCACAGCTCACAGTTAGCGTAATGTTTTCCATGCTGAACATCTACTTGTGAATTTAGGTTCCTCCTGTGTCTAGTAATGTATTCATTTGTTTCATTGTGCGTCGCGAAGTGAAAATGATGTGCCGAACGGCACACGACGAGATACGGGCACAGTAACGGCCCTATTATTTAGTAGTGTGGCTGAATCCACTGGCGTTTGAACTCTTGGTTATTTTGCTGGTAGATGAACCTTACTTTGGAAGGCTGCCGGCTTGCGGTGTCGCTTACGGCACGCCGATACGGGATGGCGATCTGTGAGCGAGTTAGGCGGGGTGACCCGTGGAGCAGGCCCATGTGAAGAGAGCGGCAAAGAGTGACTTTGGGATGGTGACTCCCTACAGCTGCCTGCCACCCCACGTTACTGCAGGAAAGGAGAGAATTTCTGCCTTTGATCTGCTAGTTTGGTGAGCTGCTGCAGAATTCAAAAGGCTCCAGGCCCATATTAAAAAAAAAACAAATAAATAAAAAGGCAGGCAAAGGAGAGATGTTATTTCTGTAAAAAAAATAACACGCCTTTTTGTTCACTGTATACTTGGGTAATTATTTCAGAAGGTGCAACGTGAACTAAAATAAAATTTGCTGGCGTTTTCCACTCAGGCATGGAAATGTCACATTAAGTGTTAATTTCCTTTGTTTGCGGTACATTATTTCCTTAACTTGCGTTACATTGTTGCCTTAAGTGTGCAAATTGGTTGTCCGCTGACCCCGGGCGTCTGATTCTTCCGGAGACGATGACCCGAAGCCGATTTGGCGCAGACATCGGAATAATGAGCGCTGAGGATGCCTATAATTTTAGTCAAGTTGTCTTTAATCGCAAATTAATCGGTATTCAATTTACTGAATGTTAAGTATTGTGGATGCCCCGCTTTTTCTCGTAGTATAATAATAATAATAATAATAATAATAATAATAATAATAATAATAATAATAATAATAAACGAATAAACATCTGTATATATAACAAGCGCTAATAACGGGATTACGCAAACAGGCTTGCTGAATGCATCGCGGTAAGTGTCGGGGAGGTCATGGGTTTCGTTTGTACCTGTTTGTGTGTCTGTTCTGGAATTATGTGACCATTAAATATTCAGACGGACCCCCCCGCTCCCCTCCACCCCTGGCCCCGCATCCATTTGCACCTCATCACGGTTTAACTAGCGCTGTTGTCAATCACCCGGGCAGCCTTTAAACAGCAAGTGTCTGGATTAGATTTCTGGCCTGGCGCTTGGAAAAATAATATATTATCCACGGCGACAGAAATTTAATTTTCCTTGTGGGGTAAAAATGGGATATAGGACAGTGTTGCATTTATTTTTCTATCTTCGGTTTGGGAACTATGAGATCTGCACGAGTTTTTTACATTAATTTTACGACATTAAAATCAACGTTTTGTAATGATTGCGTAATGTGCAATTATCCGTTTTGCGTAATCCGCCACGGCTCCTTGTTTTCTAGGCATTATAACGTTTCGTTATAAGTAATTTTAGAAATACCCCCGCGCTACTTTATCTCCGGGTATTTAAAATAACCGGGTAATAGCGAGTATAGTTTTATTTGACACCATTATTCTTGTGTGCGTACTCTCCGCAAAATTATGCAATAAGATTTGTGGCTTAATTAAAGGAAATTCAACGCAGCCATTATGATATAGCTCTTCTCCTACTGTATAGTTTGTGTCATAATAATAATAATAATTATAACAGAAGATGAAGGGCGGGAGGAAGCGAGTCGACATTGACGCTAAATGTAATCTGCCTAGAAATCAAATTATTTGACCCCGAAGCGCGACAATACAAACTCCAGCCGGACTGCTGTTAAATATTTAGTATTCTTCTGTCATGAATACAAATGGCGCACAAATTGGACTGTACAGGCGTGTGACCCCCGGAATCAGACTGGGGAGCGGGGGCTCGTCCCGCTTTAAATGTTTTAATTACTGCGGCTCCCTCCGACGCTTGAAGGACAAGCGCTGAAATTCAGCACCTGGTAAACATCACTTGTCCTGTCTCTCTAATCGGGCCGCATTAAGTCAAAATACGAAACGTTTTTATTATCGCGATTAAGCCTCGCTGCGACTGCAATGAACTAAAGAGCGCATCCAGCTTAATTAAGCTTAATTTGAATTTCCCTCCACTGTCAAAAGTGACTTTTTGACTGGAATCTGTCGCTCGTTGCATATCTACAATAAAATCCAGGAATCTTTTCAGCTCCAACCTACAGGAAAAATCAATGCGGTTGATAAAGATGAAAAACCTCGGCGGGTAGCGACTCGGGCGGCAAATCGTTTAGATGGGAAAACATCCAGAGTGATTTTATCTACAGAAATTTGGTTTGCATCGATTTGGGGTTTGCAGAACAGTGTGGAAACACCTTCGTCGCGCTGTTTTTTATTGATTTGTTTTATTGCAGAGGATGCTAGTGGACGCGGGTTTTTACGGTGCGTAATTTGAACCAGAAACGTCATTTTTTTACGCGTTTGCAGCCTTCAAAGTGAGTGCTGCTGTTCATAGAGCGGAGGTGGCAGTTTTTAAGGGGAGGAAGACGAGGTCAGTGTGGGTCACACACACAAACTGCCCGTGTGCTTTACTGCATCTTCGCTTTTTTCCATTGATATTTTCCGAGAGATTTATTAGCATATATATTTTCATTATCGTAACGTTTGTGTTTGGGTTACGTTTTGTTTTCTTTTTTAAATCTCCCTTTCACTTTGGTTAGCCCACACTGACATGATTAGTTATGCCTGGCTTGTAAGCACTGAATCAGAGTTATGTACCCTAGGGAAATTAATTTGGCAGAAAATCAGTGTGAGAAGATTTAATTATCACTCAGACCTTTCCCTCCCCAGCCGGGCAGGCGGCGGCCGACCCACGTGGACACCACTTCCCCCCAGTTTGTTCATGCTCTCGGTCATAAGCCAAGCAATTACTACACCATTGATTTTTCATCACCGCAAATTTAAACTTGGCTGCTTTTTTTTCCTCATAAAAAAGTAGAGT